ACGGTCCCTTCTTTTTTTTAGACGAACTAAATCTCGATTTTGTTCATAGAAATTATCAGCCAGTCAGCTACAACTTAGGACCAGTCACATATCTACATCGATCCAAGTTGCTATACCTCATTAGCGAAACACGATGAACACTGGATTCTTAGAAGTAGTTAATTCAGTGGCAGTAATATATAAAAGAAAGGTTGCATATAAGGACATAGAACAGGAAGAAAGAATTAGTTCGTAGAAAGTAAGGTATGAAGCGAGTTTAATCTTATAGTTTATGGGAAGACAGAGAGTGTATACACCTACGCCATTGTGATCGATTCCGAGCCATGTCACCCAGAGTCTCCAACCATTGGTTACGATAGACACGCGGACCCCAACCAAGTAGTCTGCATCTACCAATATGGTTAAGACTAAAAGTTAGTGACTTCAACGACTGATGCCACGTTTTGGTTTGACCGCCCCTAACTTTCTTCCAACCATTCCCAACACTAGTCAGCATTACGTGTCGTGGTAATTATATTTTATAGTAATTCTAAATATAAACCTAATCTTTTTTTTATTCTTACACTATGTATATCGTTTACGATATTCAACACCAAACTAACGAGAACACTTTTTCTTTCCACTATTTAGTTACATAATTATGGAAGTCATTCACAAGTTAATATGTTACGTATTCAACATAGATATGCATCACAGGAACTCGAATTTTTATGTGATGGTACAGAAATCTATGGTTCATGGAATTCACGTACAAGTCAATCAGATTTTAATAAAGCAACAGCTCTTCTAGCACATAATGAACGTATGCTTGATTTAACTTCAGGTGAAAGATTAGGACCAGGAAAATATCATATGGATAAGCGTAATTATCGAAATAATTTAGATCGTGTTGATACAAGTATTATTGTAGAATATGATGGATGTCAGGTTAGTTAATCAATCATGAACATTTTTCTAACTATAGTAATCATAATTAATGGTAAAAGTTAGATACGTTTCATGGCCATATGAAATATTGAGATGGTGGAGATTTGTAGCTCAGGTGGATGATTTTGGTGGAGTTTTGTTCTCTGAGCTGGATGGTTTGGTCGTGGAGCTTTCATCGTTCGGAAGATGAGTCGATATTCATTCCAGATAAAACTCATGTAACAAACAATTAAAAAGTTGCACTGACCATACGAAAATCCATCTTACACAACGAACTCAAGATAATTCAAAGGGAACAAATAGAACTAATAAACAACTAAATCGAATATTTAGAATAAAATTAATAACAACGATAGAAACAACTCATTCGCAACATTTTTGAATGATTTCTTCAGAGAATTTGTCGATGATAATTTAGTAATATAGAAATGGCGACCAGAAAAGGACAACACTTGTAGCCTTTATCTGGGCTAAATGGCATTAAATCCTATTTTCTTAGAAGATCAGTCTAATATCAACTGTGATCTGCGTGTATATCTTAGACTATCTGGTTTCGATGTATCAAGACTATTAAGGTTCTCACAAGTTTGTGACAAAATCTGTTTACAGTCATGCTGTAATGGATCAAATAAACATAAATAAATTTTAACAATGTCCTGATATTTCGTATAAGGTCATTTAACATTAATATAAAAACATAGGTTTATTGTTAATAGATAATGAAAATAATTGGATTAGTCGAGGCTGGAAAGACCCAGTGACGATGATGCAGAAAATCTAACTTGCAACTTGCAACACATAAGAGGTCAGGTTCACTGGTAGTTAGTCCAAAAACCGTACTCATTTTTTTACAACATAATTTATATGATAATACATTAATTGAAGAAGTTGGATATTCTGACCCTAGAAAATGGACATACCACAATTCAAATACAATAGTTTAAGTTTTAGATTGATATCATGAACGGGTTGATGTTAGACCACCTTTAGAAACCTGAAAGCACTGGACGGCCGTTTCGTCCTATTGTGGGACTCCTCAGCAGCGCGCATCCACGATCCCGCTCGCGGGATTCAAACCCAAGGCCTTCGGTCTCGCGAGCGAACACTTAACCTACTGGACCACTGAGCCGGCACCCAATGGTGATAGTGTCTAACATGTAATAGTTTAATAAAGAATAGAATTTGATTTCAATGAGAATGAGCCATTATTACCTTCAGAATAAATAACTTTTATTTACATTTTCTTTATATCTCTCTTTCTCTCCTATTTTTTTCTCTCTAGTACTTAACAAAAGGTGCAGCTACTAAGTTATTAATTGAAACAAGAGATTTAGAAGTATTGCCAATTATTGATTTTAAAGTACGGAATTTCGATAAACAAGGAACATGTTCATTAAGTGTAAATGTCGGCGCTGTATGCTATCGTACATAGAAACAAACTACTAACAAAATCATCATAATCAAAATAATGGAAAAGAGAAAAAAATAGAGAAATTTCCGGAAAAAGAAAAAAAACTATATTGAATTGAATACATTCATATATTCAATAATTAGTCAATTACCATTCATTATTGTTTTGCTTTTGTTTGTATGAATAATCTTTCAATTTCAAATTAACTTAATCCAAGTTGTTTTAATGTGTGCCACAATTAATAAAATTGTACAATGTTCGAATGAAAACAAATAAAAAGTTAGATAAATTAAACCAGTTAAACATTTTTATATCATATTACATCATAAACATAATTTTAAACAGATAACAAAATTTCAATAGTTAAGATTATGAGTCAAGTGAAGCAAGACCACCATGGAAGACCTGGAAGCAATGGGAAGCTATTTCGTCCCATTGTATGACTCCTCAGCAGTGCGCAACCACGACCCCGCCTAACGGGATTCAAACCCGGGACCTATCAGTCTTGCGCGCGAGCACTTAAACACTAAACCACTGAGCCGGCATCCAACGGTGGTGGTTAGGCGCCTAGCGCGAAACTGACAGGTCCTAGGTTTGAATCCCGTTGAGCGGGGTCGTGGCTGCGCACTACTGAGGAGTCATACAATGGGACGAAACAGCTGTCCATTGCTTCCAGGTTTTCCATGGTGTTCTGGCTTCAATTGAAGTAACAAAATTACGATTTCGTTATCATAGATTACTAGCCATTTTGAACAAAATAAAAAAATGATACAAGTGCATTTTTATTGTTATTATTGTTGTTGTTAGAGTGTAGTCAATGAGAACATCAATGGAAGACAACCGAATGTATCAATATAAGGAATCATAGTATTTCTTGGTAAAATATGAAAACTACACAGCAAATACTTCATTTACAAATTCTTCATTAGTTGTCTCAAATTTTGTTTGTTTCTACATCAATCGTTCTCTTTCCTTCGATCTTCTTAACCTTCTGTCCCTAAGCATTTCGCTTTCGACTGGTGATATATACTATTTATATTTGCTGACACCAGTACCACATACCACACTTTTATTAAAAATGAGTTTGGTTAACTGATGAAAATATTGATTTATTACACCATACAACAGTAATCATTATCAATAACGAGATCGTTTTAATCAGACAAGAATAATGTATCCAGCTGGATTTTGCTTGCATTACTATTATACGTTTATAGGTACCAAAAGGATCTTAATATTCATATTTTTGATAAAATTAATGACTTAACATCAGGGTTTACCAATCATAACATCTATCCTGCTTATCTGTTCATGATATATTATAACACACTGTTTGTAGAAGGTAACTTTACAACTGCAGTTACTGTCTTTTGAGAATAATTTAAGGCTATCAATAACTATTTTTACTTAACTTAGCCCAGCAATTCACTTAATATCAACTTTAGTTTCACATATCTGCAAAATGTCATTAGCAAACTAAGATTTTTGTGCCTTTGATGATCGAATTCAACTACTAATCCTAATTTTTGGTGCCCAACGAACGAAATATTATAAAGGCAGTAAACTGAGATTGTGTAGAATAACGTATTACCGATAGGTAATTAATGTTACTTATAACGTATGCATACCATAAGGATACGAAAATCTGGACTAAGAACTTGATTAGAGAAGTAAATCATTTACTTACACTAACACACTCACATTATCATTACAATTATTTTGTGTGACCAATCTCAATCTTATAAAAATTTAGGCATAAGGTGTACATACGCTTAGATTTGTTTCTTCACTGCCTAGGATTTTTCACAAAATATATACTATTTTCAATCATGTATGTAATACAGTAATGAGTTGAATTTTTGTCGTCAGCGAACCACTTGATCGATTGTTGTATGCTCAAATTTATGGTTTAGCATTTCTCGTTCACTACAAAATGACTAAAGACAACCGTTGCAAATGATTTAATTTCAACTAGCTTGAGTCTAAAATGTGATCATTTTTTGTAAATTGAAATCTATTTTTATCTGTAAGGTAAATTGTGGTTGAAAAAAACCATGAAAGATTTCATTAAGGATTGAGTACTCTGTTTCATCTCGACTATTAATTATAACAAATTGTAGTTAATAGAAAAGGATAATCTTATCACAATTTAATATGCAACTGTCTAAAGTTAAGATTATTATTCGTAAAAACCAGATATTACATTAAAACACCAAGCTTATCACATCTAAAATCACTTGAGTCAATCTTAGATCTCATCACGATTACAATAATTGTAATTATTTTTATGCTACTTATAATATCTGAGTAGTATGAGTAGTAAGTCGAAATAAACAGTTAACGTTTCACTACATATTTTGATGTCCATGTATTTATGTTAGAATATTTTTACAATAAATAATCGTAACAACAATTGTAAACGTGAGAGTAATTCTTGACCTTTATGTACTCATTGGCTTTCCATCTGCCTATCTTTTTTGCATTTCTGTCATTCATGACTTGATTGCTTTCTTTTCTACTTTATTTAGTGCTCAAATGATAAATTTGTAAAAATAGATTTTATTAATATGTATACCATATTGTACAGGTATATAATGTATGTATGAATGTAAGCAAGACAGTAGAAGTACTTTAAATTTTCACATAATCTTGGACAAATTGATCATTTCTTCTTTTTGCCTTTACCACTTTTTTTTCCACTCTTCTTTCCACTTTTCTTCGTTCCACCTTTCTTTTCATTCGCCTTAGCTTGTTTATCAATTTCTCGTTGTATTGTAAATTGGGGAATTAGAGGAACTGTACGTGTTTGTATTAAGTGTTCAATTTTAGGTAGATCGCCGTTTGCAGCGTCCAATAAAACCTGTAAATAGTTGTATTATTAATAATAATAGGAGAGGAATTAAATGTAACATATAAAGAAGATCTCTTTTAAAATTGTTGAAAATAATGCGAAAACTTTGATGATGATTTCATATATATCATATTTATAGCTTAAAATAGATATTTTCCATGGTAACTCTTGTATGAGATGCCGAAATAAATGAGGATCTAAACTTATTCAAGAATAATAATTTTCAAAAGAATCAGTTATCAGTTAGTAAATACCTTTATTTTTTAATACATCCGTATAATACTGATTGAAAAAGCAATTAGATGTTTAGTCGTTAAGCACTAACTCTACGGTTAGAGTGTTCCCAAATTATCCTTGTATAACTTAACGGGTCCTGAAATCGCTTGGAAGCAGTCGGGACTGAATAGAAATTTCTTTGAAATGTCTAAAAGGATAACGAATCATGAGTCAACTCCTTATTGCTAATATTTATTATTCTTCTGAAACTTCCTAGATGATCAAGGTCACATTGAATAATCAAAATAAGCACGAGTACATCACCATTTTTGCGTTTTCTTCCCATTCTTTTGTGTCTAGACTGTTATGTAGATTTAGAATGAGATTATTAGAAGCGGCCAGAAAATCAGATCGAGTACTCAATTAGCAGACTAAATCATCTATTTATGTCCCTTTAAACACTATTTAAATGTTGCCATATAATGGAATGTTTTCCGGGGTCAAAAATCTCCAATGTTAATTTTTTCTCAAGGATAGATTTTGAGTCTGAAAAACAGTTTGAATAGTTCAATATATTTGTCTTTTAAATCTTGAAGTTGGAACTCCTTTATTCTATGACTAAACTTTAGTGATTCCAATGAAATGTATTTGTACTTGTTAAAGTGTGACAAATCGTACTATTCTAGCTACCTTTGATTAGTCTTTATAATATCATGATCAATATATTTGAGAAAGCTAGACTCAAATTTGTAATAATTTAAATTACATAGATTGCGTGATAACCAGACAGAAACAATGATTATAGATCCTAATGAATTATAAATTAACTATTTTGATAATATTCGATGTCCCAACACTGCCTATTCATTGGAGGACTGTTTATTTTTACTTGAATCAATTTAAAACTATTGATTTTGAACAATAGTTCAGTTGTATCAGTTATTCACGTTATTGTTGTGTATAACAACGAAACCTGTTAGAGCGACTGATTTAGTACAAATCTATGTTCGGAATGGGTTTTGTGGAGATTTTTAGAAATCACGAGTCAATTGAAGCTAGACCACCATGGAAAACCTGGAAGTACTGGACGGCGTGCGAAACCAGTAGGTCCTGAGTTCGAATCCCGTGAGATGCGCGACCGTGCATGCCCACTACTGAGGAGTCCCATACTAGAACGAAACGGCCGTCCAGTGCTTCCAGGTTTTCCATAGTGGTCTAACTTCAATTGACTCATGATTTCAATCAGTGAAATCTATATTCATCATTGAGTTATATTGTACTTCATTCGTGATATTTATACCTGACGATAAATCGATCAGAATCATGTGAAACCTCCGGGTGTAAAAACTATACTTTACAAAATACGAAGAGATTAAACCGAAACGTTTTACTGTACCTATCAACATTAGTAAACAACTTCAAAAATATGCACTTATTAATATTATAATAAATAGTTGGAAGATTATATTCACTTGATGTTGCTTGCTTGTATCTTCCCATTGTTATTTAGGACTGTAATTGATCAGTTTGTTGTTGGCATATGTGGATCCTGTGCAGACTGCCTCGATATTGCCTGAAATCCATCTTTGCTTATAAAGCTTGCGACTTCAGGCAATATCGAGGCAGTCTGCACAGGATGTACATATGCCAACAACAGACTGATCAATTGCAGTCCTAAATAGCAATGGGAAGATACAAGTAAACAACACCAAGTGGATATAACTTCACCCCATTGCACAAGTAGGTAGTTAATAGGACTCAGTAGCTAAGTGAATAACGCGATGCCGTTTAAAGCAAACGGTACTGGGTTCTAGTCTCAGAGTGGACATCAACTCTGAGATGTGAGTATATCCAGCTGACGCGTCCCAAGTAGGACGAAACGCGCGTCCTGAATTCCACTGCTAGTCACTATCCATCTTTGTTGATAAAATTAGAAGATTGTTTAACAAATCAGGACTGATGAGATAAATCTGGGTCAGAAGTGTATCTGATTGAATTAGGGCGAAAAGTGACAGTAAGTTATGCGAAATAATAAGAGAGTAATCCTTGAATTGTAAACTAGTTGACAAATGTTTGTGTTTCGTCTGAATTTTTTGATTACAGAAGGTCGTTTAGCAGTGCTAAAGCTGTGTAATTAGAAATCAAAGATAACCGTTAAATCATTTTTAATTGCTATTTAAGACGACAAGCTATCTAAATGATATTAGTTGTAGAAATCACAAGTAAGCAACAACTACGGCTTTTAGGTTCTTTATCATCTTTAAAACATATAACCATAATTATTTAAGCTCATGTCATAATTAGTAGTATGGTCGTAAAAAGGATAAGGATAAAGTGTGAAATGGTTTGCAGAAATCTCTACAACAGACTAGTAACCCGCCTTCTTGACTCATAAGCTTAAGGCATGCTCTTCAAAATAAAAAAGTGATAAGTAAAGCTAAATAAACAAATGTTTTGCGATTGAATATCGTTAAGGAACTTGGACATATCTAATCCATGTTTTTGGTTGAGAAATTTTATGAAAAATATCCAATCATTGACATTTTCCAACCCAAAGCATACTCCATTAGTAAAGAATGAGAAATTAGGGAGCGTCATCTTCGAAATGACCAAGTTAGTATACTAAACAAGCTATTCTGTTAAAAGTAGCCAGTATAAACTAGAGTTGAATTTATAGTCAAATCAATAAAAATGAACAGTGAACACTCAAGAAAGTAATGAATATAACAACTCTTCTTCAGCATAACTTACTTTCCAAGTTTCGGAATTGTAAATTGCTAAGTCGATTGGTTTGACGCCACTAATACATTGATGATTAATATCTGCCCCAGACATAAGTAGGAATTTCACTACTCTTGTATGATTTCCTGTAAAATAAATTTAATAGTATGTTGTAAATCCAATACAACTGTCCTACCTTTAGCGGCCATATGTAATGGTGTAGTTCCATTTGAATCCCATATATTTACATTCGCTTTATTAGCGACAAGAAGTTTCACTGATTCATAACTTCCATCTGTTATTTAATTTGAGATATATTTTTTGAAGGGAAAAATAAATCAAGAATTACGAAATGTTAAACATGTTTACTTGCGGCTGCATAGTGTAATGCTGTTTTACCAAAACCATCAATAAAGTTTATATTCACTCCATTTGCAATACATTTGCTTACAGCTTTTATATCAGCATGACGTGCTGCTTTACATAAATTTAATTCATTTGGAAAACCCCATGGAATAAATGGATCGAATGGTTTTTGTTCTGATACTGATTCGGCGGTTTCTGTCATGTTTTCATAGTTAAAACAAATACACAAATTGCATGGCGTTATCTAAAGTACATGAGGAAATAATTCAATTATGAGGATCGAATGACTATTATTATTATTATTAATATGAATGACCAAATACTAATCAGGTAGTTTGTAAAGATCCGATGAACAATTATAAAACAATTTCTTTTTCAAGGCCTATAAACCGGTAATAGCCAGTAGACATTATTAAACTGTATTATCATGCTAACTTGGAAGTTCTACTAAGAAAATCTCTCGTTTACGTTGTATTGTGATATGGTTCTGTTGGACTTTCAGGTGATGGTTGCATTGTTTGACCATTATACTTCATTAGAACGCGTAGTACATTAATTTCAAGTGAAGCACACAATAAGCTGACTTAGTAGTTGGTGTGTACTCTTAGGAGCCAATAGTAATCAGTTGATAAGACCCGTTACAAAGTCGATGATAAGAAATATCCCTCTAGAACTATATATTATGTTACTTAATTCATGTCCATCAACGTTATTCACATCTTTTCAAACCGTAACTTAAAATAATCCTGATTTAATTATAAGCGAGAAACGTGTTTCTATCTCAGGATATATTTTACAAAAAGCAGGATATTTCAATTTTTCGATAAAATATTTCCCTTTTTAGATACTTCACTATATTCAATTTTTGTACTCCATTTCGAAATATCAAACAAAGTTGTATTATTATTACTGCACAAAATGCATGTTGTGCAGATTTATTTCTCTGTATAATGCACTCGTTAGTTTCAGAAAAACTCTATGTATATCACAATAAATAATACGTTGCTTTGGAATCCATGAATTATCACTTGAACCTCAAATAGCAATTCTGAGGTGGACAATAAGTGAGTGGTGAGCATAAAGCCTGAAATGTATTAGACTATAATGATAAACTTTTGTTGGAGTTTCCAGAATTCTCTCAGTACTGGGACTCAAATTTGACTTAACAAAACGTAATAAACGATTACCCTCACATAAACGTTCAATTACAAATTAGTCAAAAACCATCTGTCGTGGAAAAATTACTAAGGTATTACATAAGCAGCGAACCAGATATGACCAAAACATAACTGAAGAATCCATAATATATAAAAATGATTGATTACTGAGGTTCATATTGTGAAGGAATATAAGTATCTTTGACTTCAACAAAAATTACAATGCCAAATTGAAGACATGATATTTTTTTAGTGGACGGACTATTTTCAGCAGTCGTTTGGTCTGATTGTACAGACTTGCGACACCATAAATTCGTTGATTACATATACGTAAATGAATGTCAATAAAAAAGATAATATGGTCAATCAAATCAGTGCATGGAGCACACTTATAATTATAAAGAATGTAATGAATAAATTTTGCGTTATTTGATTAATATAAAGTCAGGTTACATAAATCATTAACTATGGCCATATGAAATGGATGAAGAGTTATAAAAATAAATGTGCTCTAGTTACGGAAGATATATTGGACATGGGATGTGGTGTCGTGTAGATTCCTTGTAAACGGTTAATTATAACAAGAAGTGTAATAAGACAGATACGTTTTTACAGAGATTTCAAAAGACAGATTTATTTTTAAAGAAGAATGTCACATTTACAGTTTCAGAAATCTGAACAGTGTTTTAATTTTCAGCAAAATTAATGAAATGGTCAAGTTAGTTAATGTATCACTTGTAACGCACTCGAGAAACTAGATAACAGAACCTTATTTAAATAGGTTGTTGACTGCTGATTGTGTGATAAAGAACGTATGAACGTAGTAATATATTCACGTCACTAATGGGCAAAATTTTTAGTGGAGTAAATATACGAAATTGAAAGCGTTAGAAGTGATAAAAAAGAAACTGTAACAGCCCATTAAAACCTTGAAAAGGACCGATTATTCTCTTTAACTTTATAGTGAATCTCTGCACAATATTGCTTGTTATCACCGTTTTTTCACATCAAAGAGCAAGGTATATTTTACGGGTATCCCTGTATCTTCTATTTCGAGAAGCAGTTTGGTCCCAATAAATAAGTTGAATATTGTCAGAGAAAACATAGTAAATAATGAAAGAGTTGCTGTCCGTCTTTAAAACAGGTGGAAGATTAACATCCTATCAGTTTACACGGTTAAAACGTTATGTTTTATATTCTTTGGCAATTGAAGTTTCGCACTGGGGTGCAGTTACTAATAGGAGCTTACAACATTTCAAGATATCTTAAATTTCCGGCTAGCCCTAGTTGGTATAGAATTGTATTTTAAGTTAAACAGTAGTTTGATCCATGCTCTGTTAAAATAAACCTAGAATTGTTTCTCAAAAGTATCACGACTTATGTTGACTGAAGTATTCTCAAAGAATTCTTGATTTGTAACATTCACTACAGTTACTAGATCTACAAACGGTTACTTGAGTTACTCAGAGATTAAAGCGTACGTAAGTTTGAGTCGTAAACAAATGTACACGAAGCGATGTATATTTTGCTTAGAATGCTTTTTCGAAGGTGATATGAAGAGATTGAGTGCACCATGGTGTTTAAAAGTCTGGAGTTTAGAATTCTTTTGATATTGATAACAATTTTTACTACCATTGGCACCATAAATGAAAAGTTTGACAAACAGCTGGTGAGCTGTGTTGAATACAACGATGTTTAAAAGTAATAGAATCATAAAATAAATTCAGACTAAGGCGCGAATCTAAGATATCTTAGTCTTTTAAGGCTTATGCGCGACAGATTAAAAGAACAGTGAACTGAGGATCCTCTGAAGCCAAAAAGGCTGTCCGGCTTTATAATGAGCAACTGTCATTCGTTAGTCGATTACACGACAGTAATTTAATTGGCAATAGCAAAACGCCAGTTAATCGTGATGCAAAGAAACATGGTATAGCTTGTTGGGATACTAGGTTCATATCATTTAAACCCAACAACTTAATACTCGCCAAAAAAGATCCCGAACTTATTACAGAGATAGGAGAAAACGGTAAACTTAAATTTCGTTCTTAAGTTTGTACCGTATGTCTTTCTACAGAATCATTGCCCTCGAATGATGTAAGTATATTTCTGTGTTCAGTAGTTAGTCATGAGCATATGCTACTAGACTTTAGTGACTTATCATTTAATTGTGCTGCTGTCGACATAGTTAGCCAGGTCATAGTGTCCTTAATACATACGTTATCGTAAGCAAAAGTTAAATCCCTACGTTTTCTTCGCTAAGATAATAATATCTTATTTATTAATCAATTTCAGCCTACATTTAAAAAGTTGGCAATTATTTTAGAATTCCAGTGACAGAAATACTGCTTCTCACTGACAACATTGTAGCTACAGAAGTATAGGGTGTTAGTTTCGAGACACCCTTCAGTGGGTAAATCTTAAGAAAACATTCGCTACCTACTCCGGGGTTGTAAGAAAGGTTGGTAATTTGATGCGCTGTCGCATGTATTTACACCTAATTCTCTTAAGGATTTCCCCCAGAGTTTCTCCGAAGTTCGCCTTTATTTCTCCTTCTTTGATTGATTGAAATAACTTAAAAGTTAGAATCACAAGCAGTGAAAATGATAAACGTGAGCGTAATCCTCAATATTCTGTATATTTTTGACTCTGGCCTGAAAGTACTTTTTATGTCGGGGAATGTAAAAAGCAGCGTATGTGAAATTTTCTCAAATGAAAGAGGGCAAGGAAAAAGGTCGACGATCCAGAACTCACACATAACAATGGAATCGATAGGCAGCAATTAGTAGTTACACAACAGTAAGATAAAGGTAACACGACAATAATGGAAGTGATGGATTAAGATGGTAAATGAGTTATATCTGTGTAACGCTCTGCCTTTGGTGGGTTTGAGTCTAATATAATGATACTATGTGTGCTCGATGAGTTTGAGAGGCAACAATGAAATTTTCTAGAAGAGAAAGATCAAATGTTTTTCTCTTAAGAGAAAACATGAGCCAATGACTCACTAAGCAGATAGAATGCACTTACATCTGATAGCGAAAGCAATTAATGGCAATCGGAAGTGACACGGACGATAGATTAAGACAATATGATAATCGAGACAAAAAGTTGTTGATGTAATGTTTCAAACGTGTTACATCTAGTTTATTTGCACAACCCGGTGCAGCTGTAGTCATGGTTAATTTAATCCAATAATCAATATCCACGTGAGCAGTTTGAATAAAATATTTATTTGCCTTCCATTCTCTCTTGTTGTTCCCGCATGGCTCCAGTTTCTAAAAATGCTCAACTGGCTGTTGTCTGTCGACATGAATGCACTTACTCTAATCGTTTTTGTAGTTATGCGTGAGCTTTGTATATCTTGTAGTCTGAGAAGGTAAGTTTATATCCATTATATATAGAGTACTCAAAATCTCAACACTATAAGATTTGCAAAACCAGCAAATATCCCACCACTACGCAGGTGATTGGTTGGTCGCAGTCAGAAAAATAATAGAGAAAATTTGAATACTAATAGAATATGATTGTTTCATGAGACAAATAAATGAGTCAGCTAATCAGTAATGCAGACGTTACTAGTGGATTGAACTGTACGAACAAGAGAAAGATTGGAGGTGCTAAAAGGTGAGGCGAATTAACTTAATGGTATGCCGTAATGATAACTGTATATAGGTTACGACATATGAAAGTAGTCGAGGCCGGAGATATTAATCTGTAGTGGCATTGGACAATAGCTACACAATCCACAAAGCTGAAACACGAGACTACTCAGAAAATAGATATTCAATATTTAACGTGGAGAAATACCTAACAATGGAGAAGGTGCGAACAATGAATTGAACGGACTGGAGTTGATCGAGTGGCATGGCTCGGCCATGCAGGCGTGGTCTCTGCTGAATGTTACCTTATATCTTCTATTCATATTAAATATATTGTTCTTTCTCTAGCCTAACCTTGTTCTACATCATGTATTGGTAATTGATGCGATACAGTGAGTTGGTGTAGTCGATAGTGTGACTTCTACGTAAGATCTTATAGATTAGGC